GTCTATGCTTAATATTTTAGAGTAAAAGGAACAGAAGTTATTGATCAAGCTAGAAAGGCATGTGAATAAAATAAAAATGAAGATGCTTAAAAGCTGATTGATAATATGTTAATACAAATTTAGAAAAATTAAAATGTTGCTGCTCAATGTGGTGGAATTATTTAAGATTTGTAATAAGCCAAACAAGCATCAGAAAGATAATCATATGATTTATTTGGTCAAAAATTAATGTGTTAAATGGTTAGTAACAATTATCAACAATAAGGAGTGAATTCTATATTTTCTGCATCAGGAGTACAAATGCAACAACCTACTGCAGCTTAATACTAAAATTGTTAATAATAAAGCATGATGTTTTAGGTATAAAGATAGAAACCTCCTTATAAATATTAATGAATATTATATAAATTAAAATGTTTTTATAAATTCTAATTATTCTTAATTATCAGACTTTTAAGTTTGTAACAACTTAATAAGCATATTTTTTGGTTCAAATAAATGAGATCATTTTTTCATAAATATTTTGCATATTTCTTTTTTGAGGTCTTACAACATAGTATTTACTTTATTTCTAATCATTTATTTTTATATTGCTTATTAATAAATCATGTATTCAATGAATCAATTATGTACTGGTTTTACCTTACTTATACTAATATTGTAAACAAGTTAATAGCTTTTTCAACTTGATTAAAATGCTTAATAGATATCCTTAAACAGTAAATGGTATCCTGTCGATTCATATATCGGTATACTTTTTAAATATTGCCCTTTGAGTGATATATCTCATATAGGATCTGTTTAAAGAAACCAAACCTTATCTTATTTATTAAATTTAGGATATGAGGAGCAAACAGAAAACTTACTTTTTATTCATTATGTGCAATTTAACCCAGAAATGAGAAAAATTGTTCATTTTGTTTAGCTATATATAAAAGATTAGATTATGGTAGAAGAATTTGAATTTAATCCTAATGATTATGAAGGCAAATGGCACTTACAATACATATATTATGATTTAAACTAGAAAAGCATTATATTAGGTTTTATGTAAAAAGAATGGAAGATAGAAAGAAGCATAAAATCTCTAAACTTTTACAACCAAGAGATTAAATTCATTTTGGGTGGAAGTCTAAAGGTAAATATAAAGTCTTATTTTTAGAGATCTGCTAATTCTTACTAAGGGGACTTTCTATTAAGTAGTTTTCCTGGAAAAATGAAATTAATCTTCCTAGAACAGAATAATAAGAAAGAGTTTTATCTAACAAATCTAGATGTCTGTGAATCAAATTCGAATACTTTAGTTAACGAATTTTATGATTTTTCGACTCCATCTGCTCAATTAAATGTAGATATAGGTTATGACACACAATATTTAATCCAATTTTGGGTAAAAATTGATAAGCATTCTAACTAATTTAAGAAAATTTAAGTTATAAGGATATCTGTTATGTACAAATTAGATAAGGAAAATCAAATTGAATTAATTAGTTTTTCGCTAAATTATGAAAGAAAAAATTCTTAATGGTTTTATTGCCTTAAATTCTATTCGTATAACTATCCTTATATTTTTTCAATTAATCACATAGAAGATTTTTTGAATATTTATTTAGAAGAGATTGAATATGAATTTCTCTTTTCATGGCATTTTGTTAAAATAATCTATTAAAATAAAAAGATTAACTATCTGATGAAAAATTTCTTATTTAACAAATAGTATGTGAAACAATTTGACAACACATATTAATTTTCTTGTTTAAAGTTTACTATGGTTTTAGGCGAAAATACTAATGAAAATTTAATGAGTGGGCAAATTTTAAATGTAAAATATTAAACTTGTCCTTTTATTGAGACTTTTAATGATGTTTAATTTAGCCAGTGCCATTACTCATGCCAAACTTGCTATGGACCTAATAGTAATCATTGTTAGTCATGTGATGAATCAACAAATAGATTATTCAATCCATTAGATAACACTTGCAAATGTAAACTATGGTATTTAGAATTGAATGAAGAAGTTTAATGTTATGGAAAATCTGAGTTAAATCTAATAGAGACTGAAAATTACTTACCAATAGACACAAGGTATGATGAAATTTAACCCATCATTCAATGTGCTTTTGGGTATTTTCGATTTTAAGATTAATGCATTAAATGGTATTATATATATAATTATAAGTCCATCTGCATCATAAAAAGGGTCTATTTAATGTCTAGAATGTTTTCTTTATCCAGATACATGGGTTTAAAGTGGCGAATGTTTTTAATAATATTAGTAACTAGACAGAGATGAGAGAAATATTTATCAACACTTTTATGATCATTTAGCAGTATGGTCAGGATTTTATTTGTTCGTTGATGAAGAGTTATTTTCATGCGATAATTGTGAATTTTGTTCAAGGGAAGAATATTTAGAAGATTTAGCTGCTGGAGTTAATTATTGTGTTTTATTTCCTTTGAAGCATATTTTTTAAGATACATATATTAAATGTACAGTTGGGGATTTAGATTTAGAAACATTTAAATGTTATTTTAAACCTCGTCCTAGATTGATTCCTATTAATAGAGGTACATGTAATGAAAATTGTGGTTTTTGTTCCTTAAGAATTTGTTATTATTGCAAAGATTCTCAATAATATTTTAGTGATTGGAATGGAATATGTCGAAAGTGTAGCATTTAAAATTGCAAGTATTGTTTTTAATACAATTAATATGACTTAAATTAAGTATCTGCAAGGAAATCTTTTTAAATTAATTTAAAATCTGAATTAGAAGAAGATTATATCATAGCTTGTTCACTTTGTTATCCAGGATATATTTTTAATTTTACTATCAATAAATGTATTAAAAATGAATTATAACTTCCATGTCTAAATGCATTTATAAATTTCGATTCAGAATTAATTTGTACAAGTTCAATATTACACGAACAATTTATTTAAAAAGCACTGGAAACTTTTGGTTGTTCTACATATTTTTAATTTTGTGTAAAATGTGTTGCTGATAATTTTAAAATGGTGTAGTGTACAAAATGTGAAGATGGATACTATCTTAATTTTCATAATAAAATTTGTATGCCTTGCTCTGATGTAATAAAGAATTCAATCAAATGTTCTATGCTTACATCTTTTTAGGATTCATGGAAATATGAAGTTATGAGTTTCTATAATAATTTTTTACCAGATAAAGTTCCAATTTTAATATCAGGGTTTTATTTTATTTAATATTATATTGTAGATGAATGTTAAGTTGGTTATATTAATGATTATAATAAATGTTTAGTTGCAGATGATTAAAATTGTTTAAAGTGGATGCTTGACAAAAATGGTGTAGTTTGTAAAACTTGTAAATCTTAATCAAATTATTATTCATCATCTTCTTTCTTCAATAAAAAATGCCAAATGTGCCCTTATCCTTGTACTGTTTGTTAAAAAAGAAGAAAAGAAGAAATAAATTTAATAAATCCATATTTTATTTTAAACGAGCAAACTATTAACTAAACATATTAATGTCTTTTAAATTTTGATACCTAATAAAGTTATATTCATTAAAAGTTAGGCATCATATAACCATTAAGTAAAAATGGAACCAAATAACTTACTCAAGTTGATAAATTTTTTAATTAACAATAATCTAAAAGCTTCCAAAATATAACTGAATTAGAACTGTAATATCTAATTTAAAGAAGCATACATACTTATTAAGTACATTATACTTCTCTGCCTAATGCAAACCCAATTAATCTCAGAAGCCTCATTTTTTCTTTATAATATTCAAACTTTTATTATGATGGCTAAAATGAAACTTATTCTGAATAACGAATCGAAATATTTAATTAATCCAAAGTACATCTTTAAAACGTTAATTTATTTAATGAAAAAAATATTTTGAATATTAATTCATATTATGGAGTGGAAGTTTTTATTAAGAATCTTACTCTTTCATCAATTAACGCTTAATAATCATTAATTGATTTAACGAATATAGCTAATTTAACTATCTCTAATATTGAAATTTATGAATTTCTATTTTAATCATCAGCTGTCATTTCAATTCATAATTTATATCGGACAAATCAGTAGAAAACAAATCTGTTATTTTATAACATTATACTATCAAATTGCATTTTTACCAATAGTGTAATTTTACGTATTAATAATTACAAAAGTAATATTGGCAATTTTATCATTAATAAGATTCGAATTTTCAATTGTACATTTTAAAACTCTACAATTATTTCTTTCTCTTAACAGTCTAATTTTGAGAGAATAAAAGTATTAGATCTACAGATAATAGAATCTAGAATATTTGAATCTGAATTTTTGAAAATACCAATTAGTAATTACATACTTATAAATTAACTTTAGATTCGAAATTCTAAAATCTCTTAAGGAATTCTAATCCAATCCACTTCATCTTCTATATTTTAAGAAGCAGTCTTTTTTAATTTGAAATTAAATAACAGTACACTCATCCTTCTTAAAGGGTACTTGTCAGAAAAAAATTTTAATCACATATTATAAAACTTAACAATTTAGACCATATAATTTTTGGGTTAAAGCCCATTCAGAATTATATATCGAAATGATTATTCAGGTTAAATCAACATTCGAGGTTTATACTTAGAATAAGACAATATGATTTATGAAAGTAGTTAATTTAATTGGAATGATTCAATATGTTTATTTGATTTCTAAAGTTTATCAATTTAAATCATTGATTTCAAAGCAATTAATAATTTGAATTTTTAAATATTTTGTTTAAACAAGTTTGAAAAAATTATTGTCAAAAATTGTATCATTTAATAAGAATAATAAGGTTTTATAAATCAAGATAAAAAATTAATGAATTAAGGATTCTTGTTTATAAAAGATTTCATAGAAATAAATATACAAAATATAAAATTAAATAATTTATATGTAGTAGATTCATCATTAATTTATATTTTATCTAAATATGATGCAACAATAAATTAAACTATCACGATCAATGGCTTGAATGTCACAAATAACTTTTTAATTAAATAATAATTATATATAGTGCCATCATTTTTATATATTCAATCAGAATATTACTGCAACATTCAAATATAAATGATAAATTACGAGAATAATATTATTTTGTATTAAATTGAAGATTCATAAACAATAGCTCCTTCTCTGTTATTTATTTAAGTAAAATAAAGCACTATATAATTGTAAGAAGGGCAATTTAAATAAAATTAAATAAGAAATTCCAGAAATTCTCATATATATTTAAACTCTGAAAAAATAATATTACAGTCTTTACTTGTTTAAGATATTAATACAGACAATTAATAAACTAATTTAAATTTTTCAACTATTTTAAGTTTCTCAAAAGGAGGATTAGGATAATTGATAGGATAAAATATTTTAATTCTTGATGTAATATTTTAAAATCTCATGGCTTATTAAGGAGGCTGCTTATTTATTAATCTCATTGATAAAAGTAAAGTTTAAATTGAAAATGTTTTTATTAAAAATTCGATAAGCTGGAATAATGTGAGTTTAAATTCTTATGGGGGAAGCTTTTATATAGATGCCACAAATTCAGAGTTAGATTTACATTTGAGAAATCTTACTGTATAATTTTCGATTAGCAAAGATTCTGGAGGATTTATATATTTACTTCCCTCATAAATATCAAATAAATTAAAAATTCTTAATTCAAGTTTTATAAATTCGTTTTCATAAGAAAATAGCTTAATTTCATATTTATGTGATTTTTTCCTTAGTAATAATTAATTTGAATTCAAAAATAATATTATTTAAATAGACGAAAGCATATATGAAGTTTTTATTCTAATCAACTTTTAAATTCCAAAATCAAGTTAAAGTGGAATGATTGTTGTATCTAATAGGTAACTTTAATTATATAATTTTAAGTAAAATTAATATTGATTCTGTGTTAATTAAAGGTTCCTACCCAGTTTCTATATTTAGTTTATCCTTCCTTTAACATCTTAGTATATCTAATATTAAAATTAATAATGTTTAAAAATTTGGAGGTCCTTTTATATTTATAAGTAATCAATAAACACATTCTTTATCTAAATAGATTTTAAACTCTTTGTGGTTAAGTAAAATAGAAATAAGTAATTGCAAAAATATGAATCCTTTATAAAATGGTTCATTTTTGAATATTCAACTTTTGAACAATATCTAATCAAAAATTAAATTGCAAGAACTATTAATAATTCAAAATAATTGTTCTAATTGTCAAGATAGTTTAATCAATATAAAATTAACTGAATAAACAAAATCAATAAATTTTTATTAATTGTTGTTTTTCGAAAATGATTGTGGCTTTCATTCTTGTTTATCTACAAATTCAAATTAAAATATAACTTAAATAAATGTAAATCATGGATTATTTATCTAAAATAAAGGTTTTATGAATGGAACACTTAATTTATAAGCTTCATTAATTAATTTAAAAAATTTAATTTTTATTAATAATACAGCTGAAAAAGGAGGTGGATATTATTCAAAATATTATAATGAACTTAGAATAAAAAGCCTCTATTTTATTTAAAATAAGGCTAATATAGGGGGAGCCATATATTTAAGTACAAAGAAATTATAAAATTCAAGCTTAAATTAAATTTAATTAATAGGAAATAAAGGTAAATTTCCAATAGATAATATATAAGAATAGCCAAGTTTTATTATGTTATAAATATTCCAAACTGATATTGAAACTATTAATTTGGATGGAGAAGATCAACCAAATCTTAAAAAGTCTTTTAATTCGAATTACATATATTTGCCAAGTGGATAAAAAATTGGAAACTACTAAATATTTTCAAAAGAATTACAAAATTATAAAAATTATAGCATTGATTTAAAATTTTACTTAGCTAATAATTTAGAATAAAGAATTTTCTAATTAGAAAATTAGAATTCGTATTGTATTGTTAAACAAAAACAATTTATAGGAAATCTGCCATAATCTAAAGTTTATAATGAATTTGTAATTGAATACAATGAGGAAGATCAATCGTTTAATTTTGAGAATGTAACAATTATTTTTGATCCTTATTGCTAAAAAGATTGCTATCTAAAAATATAAACGATATGGGAAGTTTAATCTAATGAATTAATTCAGTTTTAATTTAATGTAAAGACATTTCCATGTTAAGTTGGAGAATATTATTTTGAATTTTAATGTTTGGAATGTGATTCAAGTAAAGGATTTTACTCATTAGAAACAAAAGCTTCTTATTGTTTAAAAATAGACCCAAAAATAATTTAAATGAATACAAAAAATTAAATTTAATTATATCCTGGATATTGGAGGCCTTTTCAAAAAAGTTCTATTATTTCAGTTTGTGTGAGGAAACCAGATGTATGTGAAGGAGGATGGATCACTGGAGACTCTTCATGTTCAATTGGGTCTATTGGAGGTTTATGTGAAGAATGTGATATATATAATATAAGAGGATTTGGGTAGTATTATCAAAACAATAATTTTAAATGTTAATATTGCGAAAATTTTATAGGAAAAACATTTATTTCAGTAGTTATAACAATTTTGTAACTTATATATTAATTTTTAGAACTTTATTATCAACATACTTAACTGTCAACAGTGCTTAATTAATCTTTCTAAATTTTAAACGATTAAAATATACCACAGTTCATTATAAAATTATATTTAGATAAGGATAAGGTATTTTTTTATTATAATTTATAGATTAATCTGCTGCTTTAATTAAAATGATAGTAAATCATTTGTAAATTTTGATGGGAATAAAATCATTTTAAATTGAGATGTATTCTAACTTAGTAGAATTTTTAAATCCTTTTAGCAATCCTGTAGGTAGTTCATTATATTCATACGATTGTTTTTATAGCTAATAATTTAATATTCCAATTATCTACATTAATTTAATAATTAATTTATTAGTGCCATTATTTTATTCCGTACTTTTTATCACCATTTATCTGATAGCAATTTTCCTAAAAAAGGCCAAATTATCTATTACTATATATTTTACTGCAATTCTTTATTTATTATTCTATACTTAACCTTAAATAATTAATGAATTATGCAGTTTGGCATCTAAAAGGAGAATTTCAGGAATCTAATATATAAATAAAAATGTACAATTCCTATACTCTACTTAAACTCATTATACTTGGATGGCATTTTTTATAATTCCCTTATTGATTTTTGAAGGAGGAATACTTCCTATTATTATTTTGGGTAAATTAATCAAAATAAGAAAACATTTTAATTCAGAAAAATTTCGAAAAATATGGGGATATATGGACAATTGTTATGTTAAATCACTATATTTTCAATGATTATTAAGAGTCTAGTTATTATTGGGAAATAATAAGAATATTTTAAAGATAAATAATTATTTTAATTTTAAATTTTAATGAAGAATAGATTATTTTCAAAGGATGTCTAATGTTTGTAATCCTCTTATTTTATTTTTCTGCTGTTCTTCTATACAAACCTTATAACGTTAAATCTTTAAATGGATTTGAGTTAGAATGCATTAGCTTATGTGAAATTATTATTCTGATTACTTGTTTAAAATATAAAACTTAGCTTAATCAAATATCAACTATTGATATAATACTAGAACTATTATTTATAGTTGTTTTTATATATTTTATTCTTAAAATTAGTTTAAAGCTGATTACTATCTACTATTTCAAATATAACCACCGATTTGATAATATTAAACATTATTTGTTGTATTAATTCCCTAGTTTAGGATTAAAGAAATCTATTTTTTCAAAATTTTTAAATATCAAAAAGAAAAATAAAAATTTAACATTATAGCGATTTTAATCAGCATTTGCTATGATAAAACTTATGAAAAATAAGCCAAGTAAATTATCATAATCTAACTACTAAATAAAAAAAAACTTTTTTAAGGATTATACCCTTTAATTTTCTATTTAATTTACAAATACTTAAAACAATGAAAATGGATTAATAAAAGAAATCGATTATCAAGAGTAAAGGATTTAAGAAGTAATTGAATGATGAATAAATATTTTTATAAAATAGTAAATTGTAATATTAGGATTTAGTTTTAATAAATAATATAATCAATCGTTAATTTCTGTTTTAATTCTTCTCTAATGCTAAATAGTTTTAAAGATAGTAGGTTTTAATTTAACGTTGAATTTTTGGGGAATTTATTTTTATTCTTCATTTGGTAATAATTTAGTAATGATACTTTTAATTAAATTGATGGATTTAATTTAATCTGATTTTCTCATGTTGATTGAATCTTATTCTGAGATAGTTGCTTCAAAAAACTACAATACAGCTTCCATTAAATACTTGATATGATTAAGTGTATCATACAGTTTTGTTTTGGTTTAGATGAATTATTGCATATTGACTTTAGATTGCATAATTTCAGCAAATTGTGATTAATCTGCTTTTGTTTCCATTTAAAATTACATTTTTTCATAATTTTACATCATTTTCTCATATTTCTAAAAATTGCATTAAAAGATAGTATCTAAAGATTCCAAAACACTTTTTTGAACATTTTATTCTAAGATTTCAATTTATGAGGAGAATTGTTCTTAGATGAGTTATTGAGTATTGAAACCAATTAAATCTAATTATTATAAAATTTGAGCAATTTTAGAGTTGCAATCCTGGATTTAAGATTACAATTTAGAAGTGTTCTGCTGTTAAATTTCTATATCCATTTTATTAGCTTTTCCTAGACATTGATAATCAAGTTAATTGACAAGTAATTTAACTTATTTTAATTATTAACTTAATTTATCGGAAGCTAATTTTGATTCATTTATTTCATCTTATATTGGCTTGAGTATTAAATTAATATCAGAATGACTAACAGTATTTTCAATTTGTTCTGCTAAGACTGCAATATCTAACTAATCTTACTATTAATTAAGTTCTAATAGGATATTTTTATGATTTACATTGAATAAGTATGTCTTAGATTTGTTCATCAACAATACTGTATTTAATCAACTGATGAATAACATTTTTAATATTTTGCATTAATTAATTTATGGATTAAAAACTATATTAAAAATTAGAGATTGTGAAGATTAGAAAGGCATTTAATTGAGGATAATATGATTAATAAATTTATCAAAGTGGAAACTAAAATGGTATTCAAGTTTCTTATTTAATTTTTAGACTAGAATAATAAATGATTTTAGAGTTATTAGATAATAATTATTAGTATTTGTTTGTACATTTAAAAAGACATAAACTTTAATTCAAGAATACATATNTCTCTAATGCTAAATAGTTTTAAAGATAGTAGGTTTTAATTTAACGTTGAATTTTTGGGGAATTTATTTTTATTCTTCATTTGGTAATAATTTAGTAATGATACTTTTAATTAAATTGATGGATTTAATTTAATCTGATTTTCTCATGTTGATTGAATCTTATTCTGAGATAGTTGCTTCAAAAAACTACAATACAGCTTCCATTAAATACTTGATATGATTAAGTGTATCATACAGTTTTGTTTTGGTTTAGATGAATTATTGCATATTGACTTTAGATTGCATAATTTCAGCAAATTGTGATTAATCTGCTTTTGTTTCCATTTAAAATTACATTTTTTCATAATTTTACATCATTTTCTCATATTTCTAAAAATTGCATTAAAAGATAGTATCTAAAGATTCCAAAACACTTTTTTGAACATTTTATTCTAAGATTTCAATTTATGAGGAGAATTGTTCTTAGATGAGTTATTGAGTATTGAAACCAATTAAATCTAATTATTATAAAATTTGAGCAATTTTAGAGTTGCAATCCTGGATTTAAGATTACAATTTAGAAGTGTTCTGCTGTTAAATTTCTATATCCATTTTATTAGCTTTTCCTAGACATTGATAATCAAGTTAATTGACAAGTAATTTAACTTATTTTAATTATTAACTTAATTTATCGGAAGCTAATTTTGATTCATTTATTTCATCTTATATTGGCTTGAGTATTAAATTAATATCAGAATGACTAACAGTATTTTCAATTTGTTCTGCTAAGACTGCAATATCTAACTAATCTTACTATTAATTAAGTTCTAATAGGATATTTTTATGATTTACATTGAATAAGTATGTCTTAGATTTGTTCATCAACAATACTGTATTTAATCAACTGATGAATAACATTTTTAATATTTTGCATTAATTAATTTATGGATTAAAAACTATATTAAAAATTAGAGATTGTGAAGATTAGAAAGGCATTTAATTGAGGATAATATGATTAATAAATTTATCAAAGTGGAAACTAAAATGGTATTCAAGTTTCTTATTTAATTTTTAGACTAGAATAATAAATGATTTTAGAGTTATTAGATAATAATTATTAGTATTTGTTTGTACATTTAAAAAGACATAAACTTTAATTCAAGAATACATATAAAATACTATTGAAAGAATAATTTAAATATTGTATTCAAGATTCTTTAAAAAATATCATGATAATATGCAATTTAAAGATTATTTCATCAATATTGTTTTAAATCCTCTTATATTAAAATGTCTATAAAATAAAAGGAATATGTATTAAATGAAGCTAAAAACTGATGGTGTATATTAAAAATAAAATAGAGATAGTGGATTGATTAAATTATTAAAGAGAAGTGAGAATGATTAGATAAGAGAATATAATAAGGATTATAGAAAAGATAGAAGTAATAATAACATTAGAGATAAGATAATATTGAAACACATTAATAAGTAAAAAATAAAGAATAAATTGTGTTGTAATTTAACATAATAATTGATAATAAAAAGTAATAAAATATAAAAATATAAATAATGTCAAACTTATCCCATAGCAGTGAATCATCAAGAAGTTCTTCTTAAAGGAGAAATAACAAACGACCAGTAAGAGAGAAGAAAAAGAAAAATAATTCAGAAGATTACGATAGTCAAATGGACGATGATGATTTATCATAATATGATGGTAAGGAATATTTTGATTAGAGGCACTAAATTAAAAAATAAGTAACAACCAATATTGGGACCAAATAGATTCAATAGAAGAGAAGCAAAACTTAGAAAACCCACGTCTACTTAGACTCCAGCTACTGCTACATTTTTATATAAACCTGGCGCTGAACTACCAAATTTATCTAATTACATTAACTCTATTATTGATATTAAAATAGCATGTGAATATGTTAATAAAAACAATCCTGCATTATAATTACGTTAAATATGGGGTTCTAATGGTGCTTATGCTAGTCATAGTGATGCTGTTTGTATTGGAATTCATGCTGGATTATTAGCATTAGGTGATTTAAAATTAACTAGTGCTTTTTATTAAGGAGTTAGTTTATCTTGTAAAGTAATTAAAGGAAAAAAATCATTAAATGGATAAATGAAAGTTCCATTACTCTCTAGATCATTAAAAACACCTTGTGCTCATTGTTTAAAACCAGAAAAAGTTACATGGTTACCATAATTAGGATCACCAGAATAATTAATTAGTTGGGCTAAGAAAATGTCATTGCCATCAAATAAAAGATTAACAAAAAGAAGTCATTCTACTGTTTATTTACATGAACCTCCATAAGTCTCATATCCAGAAAATTTATTAGTTAATAATTTACCTCCATTAAATGAAGGTTGGATTGTATGGGATATGTGTAATGAACCAAGTTAAAAATATAATTTACTTACTTTTATGGATAGATAAACAGCATTAGGTTTACCTAGTAGAACATCCTATAAATTAAAAACTCATTGTTTATATATTGAAACACATAATAAAAAGTAATTTAATTCTTATATTAGTAAGATATGAAATTTCTATGGAATCTACTAAAATTGCTGAAGAAGTATTTTTAGATTCTCATGTATTCACTATTTAAGAAGTATTATATCCATAACAATCAGACATAGAAATGCTCTAAAAATTTGGTGTATGTTCTTATTTATTTATATAGGTTCCATTACCAAAAGAGTAGAAGTGTGTAATCTTTGAGAAACTTAAATGGGATAACTTTGAATGGGGTAATGATAATGTGGTTATCAATGGATCTTTCGAAATTCAAGGACTTAAAAGCTTTAAATTTGTACCTGTAACAAAACATTAACATTATGAAAAATGATATTAATACAAACATTAAAATTTAATATAAAATGGTATTAATTTTCATAAGACAAATCAGCATCTATTTAATTAAATTATTCAACTAACTATTTCATTGATCCATAAGGCAACATATCTGCATTTAATTACTGTGTTCCTCTTTTAGATGATCTATTCTCATCTCCATCTTCCTTATTTATTATTATAATTTTTATTCCATTTTCAACAATTCTATTATTTTGTTAGCTTTAATTTCAATCTTTTTCAGAATTCAACTAATCTTTCCTAATACTATCTTAAAATTTTCAAAAAGTGTTATTATTCATATTACGATCCATTATTGATTGTTTAATATTCATAAACGATATATCTTAATATATTTTAGAATGAAGTAGAATGTAATTTTAAACAACTAAATTATAAATATTTAATTTTAAAATAAATGTTAATTCGATATATCTTCAAAATAAATATTCAATAATATTTAATCTTAGAATGTAAAGATTTTCCTTTTATACATTCTATTATTCTTTAATGAATAATCCACTTAAAATATAAAATATTATCAATTTCTCATCTCTTATTACCTAGATAAGCAAAATAATATAAATAACATTAATTATAAACATCTTAATATATTTTTATATCAAGATTTTAAATATTAAATAGATTGATATCAGACTAACATAAAATTTATTAAATAAAATCCTTTTAATATAAAAAAGCTGAAATTTTTAATAAATTTGATTCATAAGATGATAGAAATGTATTTGACTAAGTGCAAACATTATGCTAATTAAAATAACCTTAAAGTAATTTATGAGTAAAATTACACAAATAAACCTACTTTAGGATCTTAAGTCAAAACTACTATCAAATAAGTCTAATTAATATAGATATAAATGCTGAAATTTTATTTTTAAATTTCAAAAATCATAAGAGATTCATTCCTACATTCATTATTTTGAAAAATATCTCTTCGTTGTAATGATCAAACTTTTACATATAAATAATAAAAGTAATTCTTTATAAAATATTTTATATCGATATATCAGCTTAATTAAATGATAACAAAACAACCGCTTTAAAATACAGCATACACAATTATTAGATTTTAAGATTGTATAAAAAATAAACCAAAGTAATTATTATCCAAAGAAAAAAATAGTTGGTTTTGAGATAGAAATTAAATCAAATAATGATTCAATTCGCTTAATATATTAAAAAATGGCAACTTATAAATAATATATTATTAAGATAATAGGATAGTTTCATTGATTTCAAAAATCAATTAATAGAATTTCTATATTTGATAAATATGAGAAATTTGCAACAAATTTAGAAATATTGTTTTAACTTATAGGTTTAAAATTGAGTTTTAATGCATGAAAATGTAACTTAATTAGTAAGTAGTGATTTAGAATCAATTAATTGAGCAATTTTAAATTAGGTTATTAGTATATGAATTTAGAATAGATTTTGAAAATGAAATGAAATAACATTATGCTCTAGATGTTTTAATGGTCAAACAAATTTGTTTAATAGATTTAAGATTAGTTTATTAGAAGAATATTAAGTAATTATAAATATAATAATAAATGGATAAAAGAAGTGGTAGTTATAAAATAAGATTATTAATTTGTAATTGTAGTTTCTGCTGTAAATTGTATATATAAATATATAAAAGGGGTTTGAATATAAAAAAATAAATTTGTTTAGTTAGATAAATTTGGATAATTGTTTGAATGTGTTAGTAAGAGTTGAAAGAATATGATTGAATAAAGAGTAGTAGAAAAGAGAATGGGAATATATTTATAAAATGAAACATAGAAAGATATTGAATAATATGAATTATGCTGAAAATAATAATAATATAAAATAAATAATGCAAGCCTAACATTTAGAAGAGATAGGTGTGAAAGATGCTATAAAGATAGGAGAGGGATCATTTGGTTAAGTTTACAAAGGAGTTTATAATGGATAAGATGTGGCAGTGAAAGTAATAATTATTTACTGATAGTGTCAGATAATTCAAAATTGTTTAGTTTCTGAAATATCAATCTTAGAAAAAATAGATCATCCTAATATTATAAAATTACTAAAGGTAAAAAGATAGTTAAATTTAGGAATTCAAATTTGGTAATATGTCATATATAGTAATGGAATATTGTTCAGGTGGAACATTAAGAGATTATATCTAAAAGAAATTAACAGAAGAAGAGATAATTGAAATAATGAGATCATTATTTTCAGCTGTTGAGTATTTACATGGTCAAGGGATTATTCATCGAGACATCAAACCTGGTATCTTAATATGGATATTAATAAATAGATAACATTTTAATTAAAAATAAAAATGATTTATCTTCCATCAAATTAGCTGATTTTGGATTAAGTTTTTAATATGATGCTGAAATTCAATATTATTAAACTGTCTCTCATTAATGTGGAACCTTTATTTTCATGGCACCAGAATAGATTCTTAATTTATCATACAATAAAACTGTTGATACATGGTCATGTGGTATTGTTTTATATATGCTTTTATAAAAAAAGCATCCTTATTATCCTAAATATTCTACCAAAACTTAATTTATTTAGACTTTTCCTAATATATAATATGATGAACCCAATAATGCGTCATCTTTAACTAGAGATTTCCTTAAACGTCTATTATGTTATGATCCACATAGACGTTATACAGCCTTATAAGCATTATCTCATCCATGGATCACTAGAAGATATTAAGATAGTATTCCTATGGGTCTTAGAGAATTTGGTATTTGCAAATAATTACAAGAAAAAATGATTTAATAAATCAAACTTATTATGTTCTTTCAATTCCTTATCAAAAATAATGAATCAAATTAATATCGTAATAGATCTGAAAGTCATTAAGAAAGTTAAACTTATTCTGAAACTTCTATTCATAAATAAATTAATCATAAAACTAAACTCTTAAGACCTTTAGTATTAAAAAATTAAATTAAATTTGAACATAAATAAGATGAACTTAAAAGTAAAACAAAACTCTCTCAATTAACTGCATTGTTGACTTAATAAAAAAGTGAAGAATAATTTTCATACCAATAATAAATACAATAATAAATTATTAATAAAATATCTTCATAACCAGCTTTGGATTCTCCATAAAAGAAATATCACCAAAAACACAAATTAAGTGTTGATTGTGGAAATGATCAACACATGATCTAAATAGTATCATCAATATCTCCTATGAAAGGTGAATCAGAGCATAGTAAAATAGAGTCACCTAAAAAATCATTTAGAAAATCTTAATCTTTTTAGAGATTGATACTTCCTTAATTGTCAGAATCAACATAAAGTTCAATTAGTCCTGATAAATTGGTAAAGAAGGAATCAAAAACTTTGGTGATGAGGAAATCTTAATCTACTTTGTAGATTTGTTTAAAGAAGATACAATAAGCAAATGAATAATGTGAATAGAAAACAACAATAAGATAGAGAATGGAAACCTATGATTAAAAGAATTTTAGTCATCGTATAGTACATAAAGCAAATTCATTGAATTCATCAACAATATCTCCAAAAAATAAATTGATTTAGCAAATAATTTAATAGTAACAATAATTCATTCTTCCATAGTATAGAAAGAGATTATGATAAAATTGATTATAATAATAATGAATATAAATTGGAAAATATTAATATTGAGTTTGTTGATAGAGATTTCAGTGAGCGAGATGTATTCAATAGATTACTTATATGACTGCAATGATAAATACACACCAGAAGAGGGAAGGTCAATACTAAAATTATTCCCAATAGATTGTTGGGTTTTCATTATACTATGTATGAAATGAATGTGCAATCGAAGCACCTATAACATTTATTGGATCAACGAGGATTGTGTACCAGTTTATAAAAGACACCAAATTATTTGGAGTACCAGGAGATAGTGTTTTTATAATAACAATAACTAATGGGATCCAGAGTGCTGTTTAATTTTCAACAGCAATATATGTATTAGTAGAGGATAAGGCGCCATCAAATAATATATTTTGTGAAGTAAAATAAAAAATAAAATAGATAACAGGATTAGCAACTTCAATAGTTTTTATTATTTCAAATCTTAATATCTTTGTTTATGCAGCCTATCCATTAGCTTTAGTTTATAATGCACTAGAATCAACAGCTAAAGTTTTAAGGATTTTTAATTACACACTTGTAATTTTGATAATTGTATTAGTGGCAGTAGGTGAATAAATAATATCTCCTACTTTAAATGGGTATTATGTTATTTAATAATAGAATATGTGCAATATCAGCAACAAATGATTTGACTTGGGATTTTATTATATCTATAAGTTATTTATTAGTATTTTTGTTATTTGCAATTATGTCTGTGATATATGTAATTGCATTTAAGAAGATAATACCTAAATTTTCAACTATGAGATAGATAAGAGGATAATATATAAGATATTATTAAAGATTTATTGGATTTAGTTTAATTATGAAATTACTTCTAGGAATATTTAGTGGAATCAATTTATTGAATTGTTATATATTTCTTAAACCTTGGTTAGAAGTTTCAGAAACTCTATAAAATATCACTTAAGCTTTATGTATCCTAGGTTAAACCATAATAATATATCAGGATCCATCATTAAGATTAATATCACAAAGTTCTTAAATATTTGATTAAAACAATTCTAATGAGAAATAAGAAATTTCATTATAATGTAAATATTAATTTGATTATAGAATTAAATATTTTAGAATAGTTGCATAAAGAAATGAAGAAAACTTAAGTTACATCAATGTTAGCTGGAGTATAAATATTAAGAAGAATAAAATAAGAAGATGTAATATAATATAAGGATCTTATTATAAATGAAGATTAAGATGGTAGTGGTAGTAATTCTAGTCAAGGAGATTTAAGTGAATTAATGGAAGCAACTACATAACCATTTACTGTTGAAGAAATAGAAGAATGTTTAGTAACTAATTTGAATAAACATGTTATTAAAGATAAATTAGATATTCATTAAGAAATTTAAGTTTTCAATATGAGATGTATATTATATGCACCAAAGATCTTTAATTATTTTATTACATTAGATAATATCGATATTGAAGATTGTTTTGATTTAATTAAAAATTCAACAAAACTTGATTAATTCACTGGACCTGATGGTGGAAAGAGTGGAGAATTCTTCTTCTTCTCTTATGATAATTAATTAATTATTAAAACCATGAGATAAAATGAAGTTAATACCTATAAAAAAAGATTATATAACTTTGCTACTTATCAAGTTAATAATTAATTATCTTTAATCAACAAAATATATGGAATGTATACTTTTGAAAGAGAAGAATAATCTAAATCTAGAGTACATTTCTTTATCATGAAAAACATCTCATTAGGTATACCCAGATGTTAAATACTCAGAACTTATGATATGAAAGGATCTGAATATAATAGAGAAGTACTACTTAAGAAACCTTCAAGTGATCTCTCCAAAATGACTTTAAAAGATCTAGATTTCTTTAAAATTGAACAACAATTCTGGATTGATAGTTCCATTTCTTAAAGTTTTATTTTCACTATTTATTTTAGAATTAATTACTACTCTTATCAATGACTCTAATTTCTTAGAAAAATAACAATTAATTGATTATTCTCTTCTTGTCATGATTATTGATTGGAATCAAAAAGAAGAATTATTATTTAAACATTTTGATGGTTAACATATCAATATAGTTCCATCCATTAAAGAAAAAGGAGTATATTTTATATTTAAATAGATTTATTATCATCTTGCTATCATCGACTATTTATAAAATTGGAATGTCAATAAATCACTTGAAAGAAAAACTAAAAAGATTATTACCATGAATATGTAGCTTGACACTTCAGCATAAGAACCAAATATCTATAGAAAAAGATTTTAAGATAAATTAATTAATAGAATACTTCCAATCAAATGATTCATCACATCAAACCATTATTATTTTATATAATATTCATAATCTAATTACCATACTTATCAAAACCCTAAGATAGATTATATAAATTATATACATTTTTATTAACTTTCTCTCGAATCATTTAAAAATATAGGAAGTTTATGCAAACAAGAAGTGTCCAAATTTAATATATATTTTACTCAAATAATTAAAAGAAAAGAGGCTCTCAAGCATATATCACAAACCTTTTCTTAAGTATTTTTAATTTTAATTATTCTGACAATAATTTAAAATACAGCATTAAATTTCAAAAGATGCTTATTTCAAAATTATATATTATACAAACTTAGAAAAATTAATAATTTTCTCTTATTCTTAATCTAATTTATATATTGAAATTAATTAATTTAAGAACTTTTAATTTTTGAATATATTATTGATTAAGAACTTTAGAACTAAAAAAAAAATTTAAATATAAATTAATTTACTTTCATAAATAACATAACTTAATGATATTTAATAAATGTATCAATATAAAAGAGAACAGAAATCTTTACAAGAGTTAAATATAATAAGATTGAGGACAATTTTATTTCCATTCATTTTATTATATATAATAATTAAAAATAATAAATGTTATTTATTCAATGATTTTTTCTATGAATGATAAAATTCCAATCAGAATCTTATGTATTCGTATGAGTATCACAAGAATATCCTCCATTTTAAATAGGTTCTTTAAAATACTTAAAAATTATTTTGATTCTTATATATAATAAACTTTTTATAGTCGATAATTTATTATTTTAAGAAGATGCAAGGTTGTTATTTAATTATTAGTAATAATTAAATAATAAATCTATATGAGTTAAAAATATAGGAATAATAATAATATAATCAAAAGGCTTATTTCATATTCTTTTGTGGAGAAGATTATTAAAGTCATTTGGATAATTATGATATTCATTAAATTAGAGATCATCTTGGAATTATTAATCAAAAGGATTAAGACTTTTAAATAATAGATTCTTAGATTCTATACCAGTAGAATAAATTGTCTTATTTTTCGTTGATTCTATTTTACTTGCTTTTTCTTATTTTAAAGAATGATCAATAGAGTTTTATCTTGAATTATTCAAAGGTTTAAAGTAAATTGAATCAAACAAACTGTATTTTGATAAGTCTTCTAAACTAAAATAATCAAGATTTTCTTTAAAAAAGTCTTGATCTAAAGATTCTTGTAAAGTAAACCTTTATTTAGGTGAGATTCTTGTCATTTGAATTAAAAGATTCTTTAATGATTATGGAACTTTGACTTTTTCATTGAAAGTAAGAGTTCCAGAATTTGAACTTCTATATGGATGTATTGCAAAGAATCTAAAATAAAAAATAAAGATACATTTCATAAATGATAATTCCTAAACTATAAACATCACATTAAGTTGTATACATTTTTTATTTTTCTTTATATTCTTATACTTCTGGAGCAGCATATCCATGTGTACCACAATTATAAAGTACATGATCATGATATTTTTAGTTTGTTGCAAATCCAAAATCAATAATAGCAATTTCTATATTTGTTGGATCCTTATATTTATAAATAATATTTTATGGTTTTAAATCTCGATGCATTATTTATTATTAATGAACATAATTCATAGTTTCGAGAATATCTTTAACTAATTGTTATTTCTATGAAAGACTAAAATTTTGAAGCTTTTCATATAAATGACCACCTTCATAATGAGTCATTACTAATTCAATGTAATCTTTTTTATATCTATAAATAAGATACCATCATTTTCAAATACTTCATATAATTTTGGAATATTTGGATTATCTAAACTTCTCATTATATATATTTCTTCTGCTAAACTCTTAGCTTACTTCTCTCTCATTTTATTCCCTATTTATGCTTTTGCTACTTTTTTTATTGCAAATTTCTAATCATTTAAATTGCTTCCCAAAAAGACCTAAAAAATAATAAATTTAATAAACTTCACATGTTATTCCTTCCCCTATTTTTTAATTGATTTTATAAATATTTATCAGATTTTATTCTTGTATGCAATTTGATTTTAATTCATCTATAAAATTTTCTACTTCTTCTGTTATATTTACAACAAACAACTATAATTCTGATTGATCATGAGACAATGTCATTATTAATAAGTTTTCTTATTTTCTAAAAGAACAATAAACATTTTTGAGAATTAAAAAACCACCAATCTCACCATTCTTTAATAAATCACTAATAAAATATAAAACACTTACCTCTCGAAAATAAAATAAGTGTTAACAATAAATCTTATATCTTCTTGGAGTTGCTCTCTTAAATAACTATCCTTATTTAAATAAAACTATTGTTTATTAGTCCTCAGACAATTTTTGAAAATCATAATTAACCAAAGACTTCAAATTTTTATTCCAAAAAGATTTTCTTTCAGATGATACAAAGTATAAAGAACTCTTCATTATTAATTTATAAAAAAAAAAACATATTCAATTTTGATTATATCCAAATTAATATATCAAACCAATACAAAACCTATAACAAAAATAAGACATTATTCATTTTTCAAATTATTCAACTTCCTCCATAACAAATATAAGAAAACAAATGGGGCAGAATTAAAATAAATCAGTTTTAATTATTAATTTTTATCCAATTAATCATTATATATTAATTTCTAATATAATTAATTAATCTCTAGACTTCACTATTCTTCACTACTTTCATATCACCTATAAAATTCATTTTTAATTAAAATTATGAACTATTCATAATAAAAATAAAGTCAAATTTATAATGTTAGGTTTTCTGAATTCTGAACCAAATAATATGCAGATCGACTAATGAAGAATGATATGAATAATGTGAAGAAGAAAAATTAAAACAGTTAGATGATGATCAAAGTTCTTAATGAACGATCCTAAAGATTATTTGGAAAAAAATCTTATAACTTAAAATGAAAAGAAGTAAATTTCTATATCAAATTGAAATACTTAATATATTTTAAATAAATTACTAATAAAAATAATTAAGAAATTTTAAATTGTTTTTCTTTTTATAAGATAACTCATTGTTAAAGAAAGTTTTGAAGTATCATATTCTTATTTAAGAAATTTACAGATTTTAAGATAAATTATATTTGTTCTTATTTATTAGATACTTTTGAATTAGACAAGATGCTGATAAACTAAAAGTTCTCTAATTGGTTAGAATTGTTAATAAAATTTATAGCTTCACATCAATGCTCTTAATTGTAAATTTTATCAAACTAAAAAATAAAGATGTATTAAATTTAAATTAATTGAAATAATCTTTAATTAGAGATTACTATAAAGTCCTAAACAATTCCTTAATATTTTAAAATAATTAGAGAAAATTTCATATTTTTAAATGTCTATTTTGAATTTGATTGTTCAACTAAATTGAAAATGATTATAGAGCAGCTTTTTTTCTAATATAAATAAAATGAGATAATTATAAAAATGTTTTAAAATATAATACAACATTTCAATAATTTTTATTAAAATATAATTTTAAAAATGCTAAATCGATTATGAATTTAGAACTATTGATATTATATCTTTTAATCTATTTTCAAATTAAACAAGTAAAAAAATAAAAAATAAATTTATAAATAGTTAGTGTTCAATAAAGTAATTTTTAATCAGAATACTTATTATAAAACTTTTTATTTTGCTTTATTTATTAATAATTACATGGAAATTTGTGAATTATTTAAGGAAACTGTAAGATATATTGTGTATTAAAGCTTAAAGAAGAGGATGATAATAAAAGATAAGCTATGATGTTTTATGTTTGTCGAAAACTTGGTAGAATACTTCCTTTTCCTTCAATAGTCACAATTTTATAATAAAACCCTAATATTTTAAAATATCTTCTGATAGCCAGTTAATTAGATGATAATAGTGTAATATTAATAAATATATAGGCTTTAATGATGTTCCAAGCATTATAAGAGAGATATTATGATGAAAAGTTATTTGTCAAACTCTATTTTGATTGTGTGATAAAATGTTTAATAAATTAGGAGAGTAATGTATAAAGTATGAACTTTGCTAGTTTATAGTTAAAAGGTAATAAAGAATGAAGGCAAATTAAGATCTTTTTTATTTGAGAATTCTAAATACTTAATTAATAAAATAGAAGAGACATTCATAAATGAAGAAAATATTTGTGTGATAATAAATAACTTTTTTAAAGGTTATATAAAATACAATCCAAATTTTGATATGCTTAATTAATGCTTCTAATATGCATTAGAGAAACGTAGTGTTTGGAAAATGCTTAGAGAAATTGATTAATAATTTGAAATGGATGTTGAAAATTGTATAAAATAATAATTATAATAGAACTAATTCTATTAAGTTAGGCAATGAGTACAAAAAATCTAGATTTTTAAATTTAAAATTGTAAAAACAAAAATATAGAATAAAAATATTTTGGTTTAAGTAAAACTGAAATGAAATAATAAATACTTGAAGAATGGTTATTTTAACCTAGTGAAGTGCCATTACTTGTAGCTAATCATCCTTCTTAAGATTAATTATAAAATGATGTTTTTAAATCAAATAAAATGTTGGATATACTCTTATCATTTATGTTATATCCAACTAAATATTCTTAAATAACTTAGAATGTAAGATTTAATCATATTTATTTAGAAATTATAAAATATATATGTAGATCTCTAATATCCTGATCCACCATCTTTTAGATAATTAAATATTAAAATTTCTTAAGATGATAGACCTGCAATTTAATTTAGGGCCTTTAGAACTATGCAAGCATTAACTGATAATAGAAACATTTTTCTTTTGACTAAAATTAATTAAGGATATTATTAAAGAGCCTATTCAATGATTCATGAATGTCTTAAATAAGATTTAGTTGCCATAATAATTTGTCCTGAGATTATTGTATAATATCTTACATTCTTACTTTATTCAGAACCTTAGATATCTACTTTTTATTTAATATCCTATCATTTACCTTTCAGATTAATGCTATTTCTTGATATTCCTGAAATATCTTAATATTTCACATAATTTATGAGTTTTATTTAATCTCCTTATTACAAATTTGATTCTTAACAAACAATATTATTATGGAAATATTTTGAGTTGACCAATTTTTTTTCAGATTTATTAGAAACAACATTATTTGATTAAAAATTGTTAGATAATATAATTTCAAAAAAATCTACAGAATTATATAAACCATCCAAAATTGAAGAACTCTAGAAAAAACCTGACTTTTCACCTTTAGAAATTGAAAAATAATTTATTTAACCAGAACATAAAAAAGTTACTGAAGAAATTGACCAACTTAATTAAGATTTTGATCAAATTTTTGAATATCTTTCTAACAAACGTTAAAAAACTAAAAAACTTTTTGAAAGAATGCTTTATCAAGCTACACAAAAGGCAAATATTAAATATTAGGATAACACGAATATAAAAAATTATTTTCCTTAACCTATATAAACAGTAAAAAATTTAAAAGCTTAAGGAATAGAATCTATTAATTTTAGTCCAACTAAAAGAAAAACTATTGTAGCTCCAAAATTAGTTTAATTACTTGATAATAATTCAAGATATTCAATGCAATAGAGTGATAAAGAATATTAAACTTAACATATATCATCTAATAACACATCTAGAAGTTAATTATAAGCACTTACTAATCCTAATAATTTATTAGGTGTTATTAATGAGTCTATTTAAAATCAAACTAATAAACCTCTATAAGATTTTAAGTCAAAACCTATTTATTAAAGAATTCTTGTAAAAAGACCGACATAAACAATTATGCTTTATAGTTAATATTAATAAAAATCAATTAAAAGATTAAGCCAATAATCTTCTTCTTTAGTTAATATTAATATTAATGATTCCTTAAATAAATCTAAATTATAAAATTCATTCATTTTGAATAAATTTAATCATCTAGTAGGAAATATAAAATCTAATGAATCTGAAAGAGAATTTAATATATATCCTCCTGAACTTAAAGATTAATAAATCTCTGATTTAGAAACATTAGCTATTGATTAATAATTCTAATAGTTATGTTAACAAAATGAAAATTATACAAAAGGTGTTTTATAATGTATTTATGATCTACTATTAATGATATTTACACCAAAGAAGTTTATTTTATCTAATAATTTATATTTTTAAAAACCAGAATATTATCTTAATATAATTCTTGGTGGAGATGATCAATAAAAATTTATTCAAATCATTGCTAAAAATTATTTATTGAAATAGAAATTTGGAGAAGAATATTAAAGCACATCATTAATTGCAGGTCGAATTTATAATCTTTTGCATAACTAAACTTTGGATAAATATATATATTTTAATTATTAAGAGCATTTGATATTGATAGTCAAAATACTTGTTACTTAACTTCTATCTTAATCATTATCAGCAAGAGTTATTATTCTTTTAGAAAGTCTTGCTTTAATTCTTGAAAAAACTAAGGAAAAACTATTATAGTTAATTTCAATATCGTTTTGGCACTTATTAATTGAATCCTGCTAAATTCATTATGAAAATTCATTTTTTATGAATTTCTTTACTAGAATTTTAACAATAACTTTTATTTATGGAAATTTGGTTATATTTCAAAGAATATTATTGAAAATCAATTTTTTGTCCTATTTTATATAAAATCCATTACTAATTAGATCATTATTTTTAATAATATTTCTCAATTTTAAATTAAAATAAGATGAAATAAAAAAAATTAAATAATAGATTTTTCAAATGTCTTCTTGGAACTTTTTTTATACTCATTTTCAAAGGTATTTTTTTATTTTTTTATTTGAGTGACATAAAATTATTGGAATCTTAAGAATATAAAAATATTCTTAAATATATTAAAACAGATGATTTTCTTTATATTGAGTCCTTAATTGAGAACAAATATGTAAAAAAGCATAAAATTTTAACTCATTGATTATATATGAATCGCTTCTAGAATATTATTTAATTTTCTTAATATATCTGATAAAAGTACATTTAGTGACTTTGTTTTTATATTATAATACTAATTAAAAATTTATTGTGTAATTTAACCAATTATAATAAAATATATATTATGTATTATGTTAAAGATATTTAAAGATTACAGAATTCTTGTTTAATCATAAATTTTCATATAAATGTGAAATGTTTTAATTTATATTAAAAAACAGATAGCACCTTTTTAATTATGACATGAACTTCAAGATTCATTTTAACTTAATATTAGTTAATTAATAACAAAAAATTTAAATTAATAATCAGGTAAAAAGTATATTAAAAGCATTTAGGAATCCGAATTATGATAAGGTTTACCAAGATTATTTAAATTTTTGGCGCAAATATATATTTGTTATATTCATAAATAAATAATTAATTAGTTTTGATATTAATAAAAAAGGAATTTTAATAAAAGAAAGGAATTTATTAATACTATCTGCACATAGGATAGTTGATACAACAATAAATAAATTCATAGATATAAAAATTCGTAATAAAAAAAATTATTCAAATAGAATTTATAAAAGGAAATTAAACATCAGATAATTATCTTAATAAACAAAATTTAATCTTAATATTAAGGGTATTAGTATCATTTAACAACTTTAGCTTTAAGACTTAAAGAATATTAGTGAGTGCTAAATGAAGTTCAAAACGAAAGAATTTTGAAGTAAGTTGTAAATCAGAAAAGATTATTTATGGATCTTATTCAATTGAAAATAAAGTATGGGATCGTTTAAACATTAGACTTCTTATGATAAGGAAGATCAGTATAAGAGTTTCTTTTTAATATTAAGATTCAAAACATTTGGAGGACATCTTATCATTTTAATGAGTCTAAATTAATTCAGATTTTCTTGCAATTATTATTCTCAAAATTATTATCATAATTATTAATATGAAGTTTTATATTTTATTAGATTTTAAAATTATAATATTATAATATCAAATGCCTGATCTGCAAGTTGGGCATGTTTAATTTACTACTACCCATTCTGATAAACATTACTTGTGGAATATGTGTAATTGATGACATTTCAACTTATAGTATTCTTCATTAATTTCAAAATTATGTAAACAAATGTTGCATTAGACTTAAGATAATTAAGAAAGTAAAGTCTCTTCTACTACTTAAATTTCATATTTGTTTAAAGGTGAAAATTATTCATACTCTAATTCTTGAAGATTAGCTATTTACATGTAGATCTGATTATATAATCTTTTTGAAATAATTGTTACGATGGTCAATATTGTCCCAAAAAATATAACTAAGATTCTAGCTGTGGTCATAAATTGCAAAGACAACCCAATTATTAAAGCTGTCATATATAATTTTAATACGTTATTCTTTGATTGAGGTTTTGTATTTTTATTAACTCAAAATAATCAATACCAATAAACTAAGTTATAAGAAAATACTTAGAATCTTTAAATAAAAGCAAAAACAGTGAGACTTTTACAAAATCTACTTAATTTCATAATCTGGCCTTTATTCTATATCATATTAAAACCATAGCAATCCTTCTAAATATTCAATTTCATTTTAATGAAATAGTTTTAAATAATATAAAGAAGGTATTATAGATATTGCATTAATTACTATTGAGATAATGGTAATGTAGAATAAAGGTTAGTATCTCAAGGTTAAACAAAGAGAGATTATACATAGAATGACTTCTACTAGTTAATATATGGCTAGCACAAATATTAAAAGATAAACAAATCGAAGCTGATTTTGTTATTAAGAATATTACACATAGCTTCTTAAACTTTGTTCTAAAGCCTTTTAAAATTATACTTATCTAGCTTAATGTAGATTGTCTTATTATTGATCTGACATCAATTCTTAGTGATGATTCTCATTATTAGTTAAATTTGTTGACATTATTATTATTGTAAAATAATAATTAAGGAAATCATCTAACACAGACTAAATACCAAAGTAAAATACTTACTAGAGTATTTTAAGATTGATATTTAATAAAAAATGATAAAAAGATGAAACATGATTTCAATGGATGCATAATGACTTTTTTATTCAAACTACGAATTTAAGTTCCTGAAAAAAATTAATTGTTTCTATTATTAGTTCTTTTCATTTATATTATCATAAAATATAAAAACATAACAAAGTTTAAAGTCTAATTTATTTTAAATTATATCATTGTCATTTTTTTATTAGACTTTTTCTTGCAAGTTTAAAAAGTCAAATTCAATTCCCAGTTAAAAGTATTTTTAGAAGAGAGACAAGATTATTTTAATGCAAGTTTGAAAATATTTATATCCTCAAATCAAATTGAATTAGGAATTAATATATAAATATTTTAGAAAATAAAATAATCTAAGATTCTAAATATAATAAATGAAAATTTAAGTTAAAATATTATACAGTGAATTTGGATTTAATATCAATTCTAAAAATGTTCGTTCTTTATATAAAAAAGGAAAAAAACTCAATATAAATATTGATGATATATCAAAATATTTATAGAAATATAAGTGCAATACTAAACAATGAAAATCTTTTAGTAATCTACAAAACATAAAAACTTATAAGAAGAATTAATTTTTTAAATTAAAAGGGATAATTATGAAAAAGTATTATGTAAACACATAAGCTTTTGAATTATATAAAAATTGGAGATATAAGATATAATATTATAATTTCTAAATTTAACATATTCTCAAATATATCTTTATATCTTAATAGGAAATCTATTTTAAGCAAGGGGATCTAAAAATATCATATGCATCTATTATGATGATAATGAAGAGGTTATTAAATCCAATTTATCCAAAAACTCTTGTTATTTTATTATCTATTGCTTTAAGATATATAGATAATTATTATGTAATCGAGAATTCTGTCATATCATCCATTACTTTGAGAAAAATAAGCTAATTACACTTAATTATATATATTATTAGGCTGTTAATGAAAAATTTCCTCTATCAAATTGATTTAATATATGTAAAAAATAAAAAATAAAGAATTTAGACCCAAATTATTATTTAACATAACAAATATAAAAAAGTTTGAATCAAATATATGCATTCCCTGTTATATTATCTATTATAATATCTAAAAATCGTTTCAAATCATCCAAAACTTCAGCATTTTATTATTATAGTTTTTCAAATTTTTGCTTTTTTTCTAACCCTAGTATTATTGCTTAACTTTAATCAATCTAATCATCTTAATCAAATTTCATTTCTAAAGTGTTTTAATCTGTTATGATCTTTTTTTAAATAACTTTTATCTTATTTGTTGATTTCATTTAAGGCATTTAAAAAAATAAACTCATAAATAGTATTTGTAATATACTGAAAATAAGTTTAATTATTTATCTACATTAAATTTTATGTTATTCATTAAAATACCTTTATTTTGAATCCTAATTAATAATTTCTGGAATTAATATAGAGAATAAAATATACTCACTTGTAATCAATTGAATTTCTCTCTAAGATAATTAAAAAATATTTGAATTTAAATAAGTTGTTCTTCTAACTACAAATAATGAAGCCGTCTTATTTTAATAGTGGTACAATTAAAGTGTCATCATGAAACACAAAAATTCTGGCATATTTTCGTGTCTTGTATGTTATTCAACATTTTTGAAAAATTATATCATAAAATAAATTAACCATTTTTTTCTCCTTTCTTAAGATTCTATTTGATTAGGATTAAAATTTTAAGAAAAAACTTTTTTCATATCTTCACCAATCATCCCTTGATAGATTTTTAGAGTAATTGTACTAACCCAATTTCTGATAATATCTTGCGATTATGCTTAATTAAATTTCTTAATTTCTTTGAACAAAAGTTTAGCCTTTTAATTTTATTCTTATTATTGTTTCTCTTTTTCTTTTCTTTTCTTTCTTATTTTATAAATGTAAAATACCTAATATTTTCTGACCATCTGATGACAATTATAATGACAAGATAACATCTCAAGAATTTCTACCATAAATTTTCTAATCTAATTTTCTTCTACTATTCGATTCTTTATTTTTCTTTCATTTTTTATACTTCTTAAGCTACTTCTTAAGGAGTCAAGACTTTCTTATTATCATAATATTTAACTTTATAAACAGTTGGAGTTTCTTCTAATGCTTAATCTCGTAAAACTTTAATCCTATTTCGAATATACCCTCTTGATTCCAATCTACTTTCAGATAATTGTTCTTCATTTAATAATCTGTTTACCTTTATAGTATTAAAATCCATTGATGTATCAATAATAGGTAATTATGGTTTCTTTTACTCTTACTTAATAATTTGTTCATATTCGATTTTCTTGAACATCATTTACAAATGTAGATATCTATTGGTTGCAAGTTAAGTTTTATTTTATTCTTCTTTTAATTTTGCTTGTAAAACTTGATTCTCAACAACTAATTGTTAAATTTATGGAAGATTGATTGAATTCTTAACAAAATCTAAGGTTGGTCGTGTTGTTAATGGTTAAATAGGAGCTTCAACAGATTTTGAAATAATTCTTGATGCATTCATTCTCATAAACTGCATATTATTACCAATTGATGCTCGTTTTTTATTTCTATCATTATATAATTATGGATTATAGTGATCCATATTTGCTTAAAAATACTCATTTAATTTCATTTATTTATAAATTATGAACTAGATAATCTCTATTACAACTTAAATTACTAACTTTTATCTCAATCAAATTATCATTAGATTATGTGTAAAGACTAAATTTTTCATCAATTTTAAATGTGATTCATATTCTCTAATTACTTATAATGCATATATATTGTAATAAAGAGAATGTAATTTTTATTATCAGTAAATTGAAATTAAGACAACAATAATTTAAAGTAGAATACTTTTTATAATTTTAAGAAGAAAAGCATGATAAATTTTATAAACTAAAATTCTCGAAAATTCTCGTTTTTCTATTTAATAAAAATAGCTCTATAAAAGCATCAATAATAAATTATTTTATATTAGTAAATAAATAATAAATGAACAAGATGTAATAGGTATTAGATAAAAAATAATATCTAAATTGTCCTGTTCTTTTGCTTAAATTTAATTAACAGTTTTAAACAAAAGCAAACTTTTATCTAACATACAATACAATTTTATGGATGGTGAATTTTTTGTTAAATCTAACCCAAAAAATGTTATAATATATATGCAACTAATGTTTAAAATTTGAAAAATAGCTTAATGAATTTAAAACTGAACATTTAAAAAAAAAAGAGAGATAATATTTAAGTTAGCAAATTTTAGATTATAGAAAAGGTGATTAAGTGCTAATTCTAAATAGAAAAGGAGCTCAAAATATTTAAGTATTTATGTAATAATTAATCAGAACAGGAATTATTAAAATAAAAAATAGTTATAACATAGATAAAGAAAGAATTTCTTTAAACTGAAGATTCTAAGCTAATAGATTAATAGAGAACATAATTTTATAATAAAGAAAATTATAATATTTATTTTTCCAATCCTACATGTATTCTAATCAAAATATATTATAGTGTTTCCATCAAGTTAGATATATACAAATATTATATTCTTATAAATTTGATNCAGATTTTGAAATAATTCTTGATGCATTCATTCTCATAAACTGCATATTATTACCAATTGATGCTCGTTTTTTATTTCTATCATTATATAATTATGGATTATAGTGATCCATATTTGCTTAAAAATACTCATTTAATTTCATTTATTTATAAATTATGAACTAGATAATCTCTATTACAACTTAAATTACTAACTTTTATCTCAATCAAATTATCATTAGATTATGTGTAAAGACTAAATTTTTCATCAATTTTAAATGTGATTCATATTCTCTAATTACTTATAATGCATATATAATTTAAAGTAGAATACTTTTTATAATTTTAAGAAGAAAAGCATGATAAATTTTATAAACTAAAATTCTCGAAAATTCTCGTTTTTCTATTTAATAAAAATAGCTCTATAAAAGCATCAATAATAAATTATTTTATATTAGTAAATAAATAATAAATGAACAAGATGTAATAGGTATTAGATAAAAAATAATATCTAAATTGTCCTGTTCTTTTGCTTAAATTTAATTAACAGTTTTAAACAAAAGCAAACTTTTATCTAACATACAATACAATTTTATGGATGGTGAATTTTTTGTTAAATCTAACCCAAAAAATGTTATAATATATATGCAACTAATGTTTAAAATTTGAAAAATAGCTTAATGAATTTAAAACTGAACATTTAAAAAAAAAAGAGAGATAATATTTAAGTTAGCAAATTTTAGATTATAGAAAAGGTGATTAAGTGCTAATTCTAAATAGAAAAGGAGCTCAAAATATTTAAGTATTTATGTAATAATTAATCAGAACAGGAATTATTAAAATAAAAAATAGTTATAACATAGATAAAGAAAGAATTTCTTTAAACTGAAGATTCTAAGCTAATAGATTAATAGAGAACATAATTTTATAATAAAGAAAATTATAATATTTATTTTTCCAATCCTACATGTATTCTAATCAAAATATATTATAGTGTTTCCATCAAGTTAGATATATACAAATATTATATTCTTATAAATTTGATTAAAACATTAGGTGGTTAGTACAGGCTGAAATTTATCAGGCAAAAACAGTTGTGTGAAGATTGCAACAAAATCTCTCAAAATTCTAATCTATTACTTTTGATACAACTTTTTTATAATTTAAAAGAGATTGTAATTCTTCATTTGTAAAAAGTCCTATGATAATGAGATCATTTGCTGATGGATTAGAAATTAAATTTAATTTAATTCTATTCCCTATTTATATAATTTAATGAGCACTTAATTTTTATATATTGCTTTTTTTTTATTTAAGTTTTATAAATTTTTTAATGAAAAGGTATTAGAGAAGGCTTGCGATGAGTTTTAGTAAAAACAAGCACTTTTAATTTGAATCAAAAATATTCATTATAATTTAATCGATTAGTATTGATTCAACCAAAATCATAGTTAATTCTTCTTCTTTTATTTATCTATTTTTTGTGTGTAAATATAAAGTTCTACTAGAAACAAATTTAGAAAAATACGCTTTATGATCTAAAAATACTTAACTTAATAAATAATATTTCAATTCTTCACAAAAGTATTTTGGTTATGAAAAGTATGCTAAATTCTCTAATAAAAATTAACAAGAATTAATTGATTTCATCATTGATTAATCGACCTTTTCTTTGTCATTAGGTAAATCAATAAAATTATGAAGTTATTGATTTACTGAAGTAAGTGATTTAGCACAAACTGCTTTACACCAGGCATTTATTCGTTCAGTCTGTACTAATTCTAATTTGAGAAAAAAACTTATATTTTTCAGCTACATCTGATACTTCTTCCAAAGTGAATAGTTTAATGATTTCCTGATTCTAATAGCTGCGATAATAGCAAGGGAAGCTATTTTAAAATATTTTTTCATAATTAATGTACGTTATTATAAGAGTAAAGTTTTTGCTTTTACTATAAGTTACTTATACTCTGTTGTAGGTTTGGAAATCATTTCTTTAGGTTGAAATAATATTTTTTCATCATAATTTACTTGTAATTATTTGAATTATTTTTAAGCTTCTTGTTCTTGAGTATGTATGATTTTAGCTTACTAAATTTAGGGTTTTTTGAAAGATTCTTGCCATTTTTGAGGAGATTAATATCTAGATGTTGGCTATTTTTTAATTTTTTCTAAATTGAGATTTTCAGAGATGGAGAGAACATCAATATTGGGAGTAAAGAAGGGTTATTCATATATTGTTTGAGTCTATATAAATCTAATGCTTTAAGATCGACCTTATAAGAATTGGTTGTTCATGGTCAATTTATATAAAATATTAAAAATCATTTTGACGACGCAATAAATAAAATGATATTATTCATTAGATTTTGTAAGATTTATTTATATTTATTTTTGTTGCTAATCTAAATATTCAAAATTAATGTATCTGTTATTTATTTAAATTCATAATCTTCTTCCTATATATTTTGTTTCTAAGAAATTTTAATGTATTCCTTAGTTAAATAGTTATAGAGCTATTTAATTTTAAGTTTAGATAAAATAAACCTGATTTAACTTTTATTTTGGTAACTATTAAAATTGTGATTAATTGCAAGAAATTAATTTAGTAATTCAATCAAAACAATTAATAATTAAAATGAAAAAATGAGTCTTTGAATTTAAAATGTCTAAATAAATATGAATATAAATATAAATATATACAAATTATCAATTAACATTTGCTATGTTTATTAGATCTCCAATATTAGAAACAACTTTTGAAAATAATTTGGAAATTTTTACTCTCCAAAAAGGTTTTGATTCATATAATTCTAAAATTCCAGAGTATTCAAAGCCTCCTGCAGTAATTTTGTTTTCATCTTCATCTATTTTATCATTGATAATAAAATTAGCAATACAAGGTAAACCCTAATCATTTTTTTTTAGTTAAATAATTCTCTATATGGGTTTTACATTTGAATTTCGAATTTTGTTTAAATTTTCGAATTATTTTGTAAATTAAACCATTAATACACCAGTAAATGCAATAAAATGAAATAGAGTTACATAAAAACAATCATAACTTGTTTTATCTAATTCATTTGCAATTTCTAATAAATTTGGTATAATAATAGTGAAAATAAGATATTCTAAAGCAATTAATACTTTTTATTGAGATGTAAGAGAATGAACTGTTTTAGAATAAAATTTAGTTCTATTTGCTACAAATTAACTTGTTTATGTATTTTTACCAGCAAATAAGCATAAATTTAATGAATGAAGTATAAATTTTGGTATTATATTTTTTCTAGTTATTAATTCTAAATCTTAAAATAATAACTTTATGAAAAAACATAATCTTTATATTTGTATATCTTTCCTTATTGCAGTTTTCTAATTTTAAATATTTTCGCATTCTTAAATATATTTTTAATCTTTATATATTGTTAAAATTTTAGATAATAAGGAATCTACAAATTTTCTATGCTGTGTTTTGTGCTATTTGATTCCAAAATAGTTAATAAAATGTTTATGAGGTTCTTTTTGTGCTAAAAAGTGTACTCTAGCTATCTCTCTCTCTTCAAATATTATTCTTAATTTAAAATTAATAAATACTTATATTTTTTTGATAATTCTAAAACAGCAATAACAACGAACACTATAATTCTAAATTTTTTATTTCTAATTATAAACTAATTTTTTGCTTGATTCTTTTTATTTATAATCATATTATTCCAAATTTGTAATTATACTGAAGGTCTACCATTTCGAAGTGTCATTGTTTTACCTCTTTCTAATTCAGAACACTTTAAACTTTAATCAAGATTTATTCCATAATTTTAAGTTTTTTATATCTTAACTAATTCATCATCTTTTTTTTAAAATTTTTATTTCAAAAATATTTAATGGTTGGTTTTTAATTTATCAACATCTTTTTGTAAATTTACTTATAAAGAATTCATCCTATGTGGTCTGTTGGTTAGTGGCATTTTTAAGATTGAAGTTTTTCTATTATTTGATTATTCATATTATCCTTCAGGAATAGTAAATGAGTTTTCTTCCAAATTTCCTAGTGTCACTAAATTATGTTAAATCAAATCATCATATCTTTATTATTTGCTTTTTATATAATATTCAATCTGTTTATTATGTTAAGAACTACCACTTTCATCAAGATCATTCAATTTACTAAGAATTGGTTAATTTTTGTTATTTTCTACTATTTCAGTACATATTTTGATATTGCTAAAATCTTAATCGTGTTAAAACAGCTTGATTTTTTAAATTTATTCTTGTCTACAATTGTATTATTAGGATATCAACGGAAGATTTAAATCATAACCAATCCATGTTTTATTTATCTTTTCTAAAGGTCTTATTGATAAAGAAGTAGGTGTCTATAGGCTTAAGCTTTTTTCTCTATACTCTATTACTTGAGATTTCATAAATTGAACAAAAATTATTAATAAAAACCACATTAATTTGGGATATTAAAATGGTAGATAATAAAATAATCTAGAACATCTTTTATTTTTATATTAAAATCTTTAAGAGCTACAATTCCTCTTAAATTATATATTTAATAATACTACATCATCCATAATATTAAATTACAATTTTTGAATTTTAATAAACTTTCAAGTTCTTTATGTAATTTTGACAGTAAACAAAAACTCATTCACTATAAATTTTATATAATATTAAATTGATTTTTTAAACCACCTTTGCAACCATTTTATTTTTCATTAAATTTAAATTTAGTATTCAAAATGGTTATAACACTATAAAAATTATTGATAATTTATTACAAACTTCTGTTAAAATTTTATTTTTGCTCCATAATTTTCATTTAGTTTAGATTTCACAATCTTAAAAATGTTTTTTATTCAAAATTCTATCATTATTTTTTAAAAGAAATAATATATTTATTTTAAATTAATTATCAAACTTTTCAAAGGAATCCTAATATTTCCACCAAAATACTATTCATATTTAAAGATAAAATTCTTTAAATAGGAAAAAAAGATAAGTTAGAATTGATTTACTAATCGTATCCCAAATTTTTGAATTATAAAAAATTTAAATGAATTATTTAGAAATTCGCTTCATTTATTCAATAAATCAACTTTTTTGATTGATTATTGATATGCATAACTTTTGAATATTTAACTTAATTTTGTATGCTAAGTGTTTGAATTTCATTAATTTCAAATTATTATTAAATTTCTTAAACTAAACAATGATTTTAGAATAAACCTGATAATTAGATAACTTATTATAAATATATAAAATTTTGATTGTAATTAGTATATACTTAATGAAGAATCAACTCTATTCAATAAATTTTTTATGCATTTATTTTAATTTTCCTTAATTTTAAATGAAGATTGTTATATAAATAATAAAGTTTATCATTCACTCTGCATTTTAAATATCGATTAAATCTTCAATATTATTAACTATTCTTGAGAAGATATTTATCATTTAGTTTTTCCATAAAAGTTTTTCTTCAAAAATTGAATTAACAAAATTTAATTGTATTTATCCAGAAATAACTTTTCTTTCGTTTTTATCTAAATTTTTTGATACAAGCAATTATGTTTATATAGGTTTATCTTCTTCTTCTTCTTCTTCTTCTTAAATTTAGAGTATTAATTAAACAGGCTTGACATTAGAATTTTCAATTTTTGCTAAGTTTTGAAAATGATTTGTGAAAAACTCTGTTATTAGCATAGCTATAGCTGTTAAATAAATGTTAATAATTATAAAATGATCCTAATTATTGTAAACTTATTTATTTGCAATTTCTAATAAATTTGGTATAATAATAGTGAAAATAAGATATTCTAAAGCAATTAATACTTTTTATTGAGATGTAAGAGAATGAACTGTTTTAGAATAAAATTTAGTTCTATTTGCTACAAATTAACTTGTTTATGTATTTTTACCAGCAAATAAGCATAAATTTAATGAATGAAGTATAAATTTTGGTATTATATTTTTTCTAGTTATTAATTCTAAATCTTAAAATAATAACTTTATGAAAAAACATAATCTTTATTTTTGAAAATCCACAACCAATTCTTATTGTTATTTTAAGATATCTGTATAATCTTTAATATATTCTTTGCTTTATAATAACTAAGTAATTTTTGTAAACAGTTATTACACAAAATTCTTATACTTTTATTAAACTTCTCTCTATCCTAAAGAAGAAAAGTAATTCAAATGAGGTTCCTTTAATTTTTAAAAATGTTCAATTGCTTAATTCCTTCTTTAAAATAGTAGTCTAAGTTATAAAATTTTAAATTACTTATATTTTTTGCTTAATTTGAGAATCGCTCTAACCATTATGGCAACAATCTTAAGTCTAAACTTCTTTTTCTAAACTTTTAAAAAATTTTTTGGGTTATTAGTCATTTTTTGTTGTTGACTAATTTTGTTAGAGATTTCATGAATGGTTAAACTTCTAAGTTTATTATTATTGTTTTAATTCTGGTTTTTCTTTGTATTATTTATCTGAATATTTTATTTAGAAAATATAGTTCTCTTTCTCATGAGATCAGATTCATAGTTTTAGAAATTTTGTTAACCTTATTCAAAAGGCTCTGTAGGCATAGATGAAATTTTATTTCTATTGTTATTTTAATTTTTTAATGTTGAATCCAAGGGCTTTTCTTTTAACAGTTATTTTTATGTAAAGATTTTTTCCTCACTTTAGAAATCTTAATCAATTTCTATCTATTATTTTATAGTATTTTGTAATAATCTACCATTATATATAGATGACTTATATTTAAAAGCTTAAGTTTGTTGAAATCCATCCTAAATGGTTGTATATTCATTTAAATGTCTAAATAATTTCAATTAATTAAGGTCATTTTTTTATTATTGTGAATTTAAAGGTAATAAAGGAATATTGAGTCTTGAAGAGATGAGTAAATTCTTTGAATCTTCAATCCTTATTTATTATTTAGGTATTGGACAATTTAAGATATTAAATGACAAAAATTCATTATTCTTAGTCTTCATTGAAAAATCAAATAATTTATTAAATTAAAAGAGATTATAAAGAAAAAAATTTAACTCTTTCGATTTAATTGAATTCTCTGATATATTTAAATTTATTTTCTCTTCATTTAATCCTTTTAATACATGTAGACTTCGACAACTAAAAATAGATTTATTTTGGTTTTTTGAATCAATATTTTTAATTTTTTTGATTCCTTTTGGAAATATCAAAAATTTATATTATTAAAAAATACAATATAATTGAATTAAGAATGTAAATAAAAAGAATTTCAATTGAATTTGGAACATATGAATAAATGTTTGAAGGGAATATGTCAGTGGCAGTTAGTTAATAAGATTTGGAATAAGATACTTAATCTTTTTTTAGTAAGGATGATCTAAAGAATAAATTTAAACCATTTTAAAAGGAAAGAAATTCTGTTGGAAAATTAATCTAAAGAGCTAAAAGTAACGAGACAACATCTAGATTTCAATTTTTAAAAAGTTAAGAATTAGTTGTGAAGCCAACAAAAAAAAAGAAAAATTATAATAGTAATATAATCTAGAAATGGAGTACCACAAATCTATTAGGACTTAAAAAAAGAAATATTACTGCTGAAGATTAAGAAGTTTCTTTAAGATAACGTTTAAAATATTTTAGAGTTAATCTTTAAGCAAACTAAGGCTTTATAAAATAGTTTAGAGAATATAAGAAATAATAAAACCCAGGGACAATATAAACAAGAGCATTTTTAGCACCAAAAAGAGAGTATTTTTACAAAGATGTAAAGAGAAGCATAAAATAAATGATAGAGTCTCAATCCAGGACCAGGTGTGTATTCTGGAAAAGTATTGTTGACAGATCCTGGCGTTTCAATTGAATATAGTAAAAGTCCATAAACATCGAAACAATAAACTCCTATTTGTCAGAAAGATTTTTATGACATATAATTAAAAAAAAAGAATGAAAATACGCCAGACTTTTTAAGAACTATCAGTAGAGAATAAGCTTACTAAAGAAGTATATTTGCTTAGATTGAAATGTAAAAAAAAGAGAGCATGGTATTTTACATTAATTTATGTTTTATACAAGAAATTAAAAAAAGAACAACCATTAGATACTAAAAAAATTGAGTAAGAAATTGAATATTTTCTTTCTCAGTAATAAAAGTATGGAAAAATAAGTATTTGATTTCTCAAAAGTTAGATTATCAAAGAATATTAGACAATAATACAGATATTAAAAAGATGACGAAACCAGATACACTAGATAATACATGGAATAAAATGCTGTAAGAAAATATTATATTTAAGGGAACGATATGGTTTTAAGAAAATGAAAGGAGGAAAAATTATAAAGGAAAGAGTCTAAACATTATAAAATGAGTGAGAATAATATTAATTTAATACTTGATACTTTTATTTAGCAAATATTATGAATAAAATTAGATAAACTTCGATATTCAGCATAAAAAGAAAAAGATTATATAATTTCTAAGCTATTTTTGAGTATTGATTTGTATTAAAAATAAAAATATTCTTTCAGAATATTAAGTGATCAACTGTCTTACATTCCTTTGTAGAAATATTAATTATTTAACAACTATTGGAACTATTCTTTCAATAGTGAATTGTTTAAAAGTAGTTCTTTTTTGTGAGATTAAAATAAAAATACAATTCTTTAAGAATAAAATAGAACTTTAATAAGGATTATAGAATTGTTTGATTTCCAAACTTAACAATCAAATAAATTAAGAAGAAAATAGGAATGAATAGAAAATTACAATAACTAATTTGAACAATTATATAATAATAATCAAAAAATCAAATTTGTTACTTTTTGTATTAAAATTATAAGTTATATATTTTGAATAATATTGATATGCATGATAAAACATTAATGATAATAAAGACATAAGAAATAATTCAATCTCTTACTGTGAATGATAATAATTTAGTTATTCTAAGTACCTATTAAATAGTTTCAATAAAAATAACATAATGTAAATCCTAAAATAAATGATAATTATAATTACTTTCATTTTTGTTAAAGTTTCTTATGTGGTTAATGAATGCATTTTCAATAGAACTTCTAAATTGCAATGGGTCTCAGTTTCAGGTAAAAGTGCTTAATTACATTTTTAATGTGAATCTCTAGCTTAAATGATAGCACATTTATTATTCCACCATTTGATAGTTTTCCAATCTTTTTCTTAATTTTCTGCAAATTCCTATTTTAATAAAAATAAAAAAAACTTCATCAAATTCTGGATTTTCTTTGAGTTTGACAACTATTTATGAAGCTGTATCACTATTGTTCCATCTACTTGATTCAATATAGAATCCTCTAATAGCTTCAGATAAATCATTTAAAGCTAATTCTTCTGCAGCTTCATCCTTTTAAACAATATTAGCTGATTAAGCATCTTCAATTACAGGGATAAAATTAACACCACTTCTATATAATTCATAAAATAATGCTCCTACTAATAATTTTTTATATGCAAAATGTTAGAATTCCTAAATGAATAATAATAATAATATTAATACTGGATCTTTTTTCAATAATTAAATATATCCTGGCCCAATTTCAAATTTAAACAAATCTCTAGCACCTTAAATATCTAGAATAGCTTTTTCATTTCCAACACATCTTAATTTAAAACTTCTATAAGGATAATCAAGACATCTTTCTTGTAATAATCCAATAGGACCTAATTTAGGAACACTTGCAACAATATTAGTTCCTTTATCTAATTTAGCATCCTCAACACCATCTGTTATCCATTGTTCACTAACACGATCAAAAAATGCTACTCTCCATACTTTTTAATTTTCTTTGTTTGGAATCCAAATATAAGAAGGAAGTTAATAAGAAACCTATTATAAATTAATTATAAAATTTACTTTAAAAGTTGCATTCAATTCAAAAGCTAATCTTTTAACAGTTTCCTTTAATTCATAATTTGATTTTAACGTCCAACTATTAACTTTTTTTGGTGGAGGAAGCATTTATAAATATTCTATATCTAATACTCCTCCAACTATTCTATATTTGCTATAAACATCTGGAGAATAATTATCAAATGATGTCCATAATATTTTTTAAAGGAACACAGATATAGATCTTGGTACATCTACTGCTAATTAAAGTTCAGGATATTCATTTGGTTTATGTCTATAACCAGATGGTTTATTTGATGGATATATGAAAATACCATATTTAAAATCTTCAGTTGGTTGAAATGTTTTTATAACTTCTTGTTTAGTTTTATCATCTAACTTAAATGTTCCTTTAGCTCCTTCATTTGCCTTCTTTGTTAATTCTGCAAATTTTTCCTTTTATTATATATAATTTTATTACATCAATAAATAATTCAGCATTTAATACCATCTATGTATTAATCTCTTCAAGTTTTTTTATCATTAATTCTCTTATCTAAAATATATATAATTTATTTCTAGCTACTGTGTCATTTTAAATTATCTATTATTATTATTATTATTGTAATTATTGCTAAATTAATTAAAATTTTCTTTCAGCCTTTAATTAAGTCAGAAATCTATGAATATCTCTTTCTATATTTTCTGCTTACTATAATTTTTGTAATTCCTCCTATACTTTTAATTCACTTATAATCTTCTGTTCTCTCATCATTGTTATAAATGTTGTTAATTAAGCTTCCTATGATATATCAGGTTTTATTGAACATAACAAAAACTTATCCCAATCATCATTTGCTCTTGCTACCTAAAATTTTATTATAAACTTTCATTATTACTTTCTTTGCATTATCTAAATTTTCCTTAAAAACACTTCTTTAAACTTCATTCTCTATCTCTTCTTCTTATAATCTAGCCTTCTCTTCTGCAGCCAATCTTTCTTCTTCTAATTTTCGTAACCGTTCTTCTTCTAATCTTTATTTCTCTTCAGCTTCCTTTCTAATTCTCTCTTATTCTTCTCTTTCTTTCTTCTCTTATTCAGCTTTCTCCTTTAATTCCTTTTTTGTCAATTTTTTTGGTGGTGGAGCTTTTGGAGGCATATTAATTTGTTTATTAAATTAATTTCTTATCAAACTCTATTTAATATTTATTCATCTTTCTTTATTCTTTATATAAAATTCTTATAAATTATCTACCTTTTTATATACTTATGTCTATCATTAAAATTTTTTAATTATTTCTTAATAATTATCGAATATAGATAAATAATTTTAGGTTTTAGTAATAACTTTATTTCATTAATTTTGACACAATTATTATTTTTAAATAAATTAGAAAAAATCATACTAATGACCATTCTTTAAATTCATTCATTTTTTTTAAATATCTACATTATTAATTCTCTCATCATTAG